AAATATATATTAGACAGCAAGAGAAAAAATATGTTTTTAGCAAAACCTAGAATAGGTTATGTGTTTGTAGCATGTTCCTAATGATCAGTTATAGACCTCCTGATTCTAAAATGCTAGACTGACATGTAACTCGTTCCTATGACAATTTCAAATTGAGGAGACATGCAAATGTTTTAAATCTTGCAAGATTTGTTTTTTTTTCCAAAGGGTAATTTTCTTTTTTCAAAGGGTATTTTCTTTACTAAGCAGGCAGATTATCCTAAATCAGCATATCACAGTTTCCCTCTCCATTGGTTCTTCAAGGCAAGCTTCCTAAATTGTGAGAAGTGCACTTTTCATTTAAGTAGATTATACTGTAGCTTCTAGTTAGTCTTTGAGACCAGAATAGTATATTTTTAAAATATGCCTCCTTGTCAAATAGACACCATGACAGTGTTTGCACAGTGTATCGTTAACCTCCCGTGGAAGGTTAAGCGGCTGCTTCTGTATCTAAATCTGTTGCTGTGAGAAGTGACTGGCAGTGTTGCACCCACCTACCGGGGAGTGGGGAGAGCTCAGACGTGCACCTGTGGGATTAGGTGTAGCAGCAGGAAGTACGAGCATTTAGAGCGTATAATTAACACGGATTTTTTTTTTCTCTTTTTAAATCATGTTCACTGCACTAGGTGAACTAGTGATTAATGGTTGAAAAAAAAAAAAAAGTTGCTGGAGTCTGCATTCTATCACTTACATAGCCAAGTCAGAGGAACTTGCCTCACCACCCTTCATTTCCTTCAATATGTATTGATTTCTTTGTGCTCATGGGGAATTTTTCTAGGGGTGTGTGTGTGTGTGTGTGTGTGTGTGTGTGTGTGTGTGTGTCTGTCTGTCTGCCTGCCTGCCATTTTATTGCAGATTTGTTAGCCAGATTCTGTTTTCTGAACCAAATTAGAAGTAACTTAAGGACCCCTATTTGACTTAGAAATGACTCCCCTAATGTTTATCAGATGGGAAAGATAATGCATCGTGATCTGAGGCTCTCAGAGGTTCAAATGGGAGCATGAAAAAAAAATCGATTATTCTCTCTAAGTGGTATTTAGTACAGAGTGTGCTTTTTAGTGTATTTAGTGCTGGATGGCTTTTAATTGTTATTTCCTCGTCTTCATTAGGAAACCTAAAATTTAATTACCAATATAGAAAGGGTTTCTAAACATAACTCTCTAGAATGAAAACGTCTCGATAGAAACTCATCCCCATGCACAGCGGTTAACGTTTCACAGCTGCTCCTGCGCTGAGACTGGTGGGCAAGTTTGGGGGGCAGCCACCGCGCCAGAATCTGTAGCGATATTCTTCTGTCTCTGCGATGTTGTCGTGTGATTACTTTTCATTTTCACCCACAAAGACAAAACCGTAACGGAATGTGTTCCGTTTTTGTTGTTGTTGTTGTTGTTGTTTTTCAACTCCATTTCCTAACAAGATAGCATGTAATTATGGCATTAGATGCAGTGACTTCCAAAGTATGTAAATCTTGCTGCTATAAAACAGTCTTTGCACGAAGGAGCGCTGAACCAGCGGTAATGTCTTCCATCCAAACACATTTGTCCTGTAAGTAGAAACTGTTTAAAAGGAAAATCACATCTTTTCAGCAGTTTATCAGAGATAATTACCCTTCATACAGTAAAGGAAGGAGAGAGTGTTTTTAAAGAACTATAATTCTAATTGGCAAATGTCACCAGCTGTTGCAGCTACTCTTACTTGTGTGTATTCTTTTAATGAATATAGTCTCATGCCACAAGCCACATGAAAATATATTCACTAGGTGTGAAATTCCCATATGTCAAAGTTTCAAGACTAGGTAAACAGCTCGAAGAGAAAGGAAAAAAAATAATGCTAATGAGGACCGTAAGAATTCTAGGTTTGTATTCCAGGCAAGTGGATCTTAATTTGCCAAAAGGGGAGAAAATGTAATTTCAGGGGGGGAAAAAAACACAGACACACTTACTTTGTTGAGATAAACTTTTAAGTTAGTTTCACCTCACACCCTCGACCAGAGATTCTTATTTCCTTAGAAAGTCATAGAATTTTCTCAGCTCACACATGTCTGTGTTACCCACCTGGGGTCTGCTAAAGAGAGCAGCATTTCATTTCTCTTGGGCCTAAGCTATAAATGGTTCGTTTTAGATGCTAGAAGATAAACTCTTCCTGGATAGTGTTTCATGGTATCTAATGCTATCTTGAAAGTGATCAAGGAGATTAAAAAAATAAATAAATAAAAAATAAACCTTAGAGTCTATGGCAAGTGTTTAGAGCCATTATTCTCCAGACCTCATGGCTATGACTTGGTTTCCAGGGAGCCTGATGGGTCAAGTGGTTGACTAGGTTCAACTTCCAAGCATACTCTTCCTTTGAAAGACAGAAACGAAAATGGGGTTGGTGGGGGGAGATGGTGGAGAAGGCAAGACTCTTATGTGTGTATTTTTGAACTGCTGCCTTACAGGGCTGTGCCCACCCACCTCAGTATCATATACAGCAGAGCATTTTGTTCCCGGGCACCTGCCTGCTACTCTAACAGGAGCTAATGTGTTATTACATAAGAAAAGTATTCTCGTGTTGTTTTCATTCTACAGTGATATGTGTTCTGAATTTTCTCCTTTTTGGTATCGTGACAAAGTTTGGGGGCATGGACAGAAACCCTTATAGATGAGTTGCCTCACGTATTTAATGGTAGTTAGTAATCTTTCTACAAATCACTATGCCTCTTCATTGGACAAACTGGTGTAGAAAAACCCCCACACCACAGAAGAAAGCAACCTAGGTTTCCCTTGATTGTCCTTGTAGTTATTTCAACTTTTAAACATTGTTTATGAGAATTATGCAGAAAAATAGAGAAGGAATGAATTTGGAAAGTTGCTTCCAATATGCTTGGAATATATTACCTACATTGTCAATAGAAGCTCTTGAAGGAAAGACATTCATATAAAGCTGTTTCAAATTATAACTGAAAACGAATTTTATTAGGCCAGCGTTATGCTTGAATGGATCCTTGAATTTGTGTGGTGTATATTTTCCAATAGGCTAAATAGAAAAGCAGTAAAAATTTGTGATGCTCATTACCAAGAAATAACTTTGTTACCAAAAATTCAAAATTTTATGGTGGGGGTGTGTGTGTAATGAGGGGATATGGACACATGTAATACCTTAATCAATAAAAAAATATATATATATTTTTAAATACAGAGTCAGGAAAAAAATTAAAAATTTAAATTTAATGAGATATGCTCATTGCCTGTAATGTGCCCTGGTTAAGAGATAGAGAATTTTATCATTGTATATAATATATGCTCCTACACACACACACAAAAATTAAGTTCTAAGAACTTTCCTTCATTTAAGGAAAAGGCACTACCAACTGTCCTAACATCACTCAGATGTATATATTGAGTTGCTTTTCTATAGCATATGCCTCATTTAACTATTAATGTTTAATAAGTTAAAACTTATTAAACATTACTTAATTAGTTAAGTAATGTTTAATAAGTTAAGTCACCCATATCTTCTGTCACCTACATTCCTTTCAATACTTACTTTTGCAAAACGAGTTGGTTTATAGAGGTCACTAGAGGGCTGATGCACGAAATTCGTGCAAGAGTAGGCCTTCCTTCCCCCCGGCTGCCAACACCGGCTTCCCTCTGACACCCAGCTTCCCTCGCAGCCCTGGCTTTCTGGAAGGACATCTGATCTAATTAGCATATTACACTTTATTATTATAGATAAGTGCATTCTGTGGACATGAAATGATGCAAAACTAACTTATTTGGCATCAGTTCTACAATTTTGTTATTACTAATGCCATATTCTAATTGAATCAGTAAATCAATACAGATTATGACTCAACCCCAGGAGTGGATCATACAAATAAACATTGTTATTAACTGTGTAAAACTCAAGGAAGAACTACAGTCTTGAGGAGCCTTCAACTTTTGTTCCTTCCTTGTATTGATCTTATAGCAAGAAGGACTCATACTAACTGCTCTGTCTCCCCTAACACCAAATGCTAGATAACTTTGGAATGTTATCTAATCCACACCTTTGGATCTTTATCATCAATACTCTTAGCGCATTTCTAAAATAAAATGAAACCTTGAGATAATGTCGATAAATGTAAATGAATAGAAGCAATGGATAAACTCAACATTTTGCTTTATGTTTCATTTTGTAATACATTAATTTTTTTTTTTTTTTTTTTTTTTTTTTGCCCAGTATCTTCCTAGAAAGGTTTTGTTTCAGTTAAATAACAAAATTTATTTTGTATTCCTTAAGTACCCATAGTGGTTGAGGAAGGCAACCAAGGCAAGCTAACATATTTATTTTTAATAGATATGGATAAATCTCCCAAAGATGGTGGTAAGCAAGTTGTATTTGAAATTAGGGAATGATTATTGCATGTGGGAATTTTTTTAAAAAAAGTTATTTATTTGTGCTGCTTGACATATTGACCTTTTAAGATAGCCTTTTTAAAAAAAATAATAATTCTCACGTAAGGATCTATTTCTGTTGATTTTTAGAAAGAGAGGAAAGGAGAGAGAGTGAGAGAAACATTGATGTAAGCAATAAACATTGATTAGTTTCCTCCCATATGTGGCTTCGGATAGAACCCACAACTGAGGTATGTGCCTGACAAGGAATCAAATCTGTAGCCTTTTTGATGTGCTGGATGATGTTCTAATCAAAGGCTCAAAATAGACATTTTAAAAATATATATCTAGTATACAGCCACAAATTTCTAATAATTTTAGTAATGATGCATAACTATGACCTCAAGTTACAGACATCAGTGATAAACTTTTATTTACTTTAAGTCTGGAGTTTACCGAAAGTGCTCATGGTTCATTTGGGCTTGAGCATATTTCTCTAGAGCAATTTTTGAAATGATATAGTGAATGATTCCAGGGTTGTGATTAAATATTTTTGCAATCAAGGTCTGATATTATTTTCTTCGCCATGCTTTTCCCTCACCACAGAAACCAGGAATGGATCTGGCAGACACCTATATTATGTTTGTTCGGCAGAATCAGGATATTCTTCGCGAAAAGATCAATGAAGAAATTTATATAGAAAAGTTGTTTGATGTAAGTAACTACCCTGGAAGGTGTGCTGGCATTACAGGTGCTCTGAAGGGGAAAGTTGCCTTTTGATGTGTTGGCAAAGCAGACTCTCCCTTTTTAAAAAATATTTTTTATTGATTTCAGAGAGGAAAGGAAAGGAAGGAAGGGAAGGAAGGAGGGAGGGAGGGAGAGAGGGAGGGAGAGAGGAAAGGAGAGAGGGAGGGAGGGAGGCAGAGAGAGAGAGAGAGAGAAACATCAATGATACATCAATGATGAAAGAGAATCATTGATCGGCTGCCTCCTGAACACCCCACACTAAGGATCAAGCCTGCAACCTGGGAATATGCCCTGACCGGGAATCAAACCGTGACCTCCTGGTTCATAGGTCAACCACTGAGCCATGCTGGCCAGGCTAGACTCTCTTTTTTTTATCCTTTTTCTTCCATGCAACTAATATCTTTGGCAGGTTTGTTTCTTTGCTGATGGAAACCTTAATTGGCTTCTCTTTGCACATGAAAACTGTTACTGTTAGAATGAGAGTCTCAAACCCTTCTGAAGTTCATTTTAACCAGCGAGATGATCATCAGTTTACCTCTGTGTCCAGCATCATTTCACTTGCCTCTGAAGCACTCCATAAGCCTGACCTGGCTGTGGGCCTGCTGTAAAAGTAGTTTTAAGTCAGTGAAATTCTCTTCAGTTAAACAAAGAAATAAGCTGCAGTGAAGGCAGATATCTGCCGCTGCTGTTGTTGAACATTTTGACCTTGACTTACAGTGCTGATGTGTGCTAACGGGTATAATAGTGCAGCTTTGTCAGTAGGAACATCTTCCCTGATGCACAACAGTTCCTATAAATGGGGGACTGGACTTTTTTAAAAATATATTTTTATTGATTTCAGAGAGGAAGTGAAGGGGAGAGATAGAAACATCAATGATAAGAGAGAATCATTGATCAACTGCCTCCTGCACACCCCCTACTGGGGTTCAAGCAGGAAACTCAGGTATGTGCCCTTGACCAGAATGTAACAGGGGACCCTTTGGTCTGCAGGCCGACACTCTATCCACTGAGCCAAACTGGCTATGGTGGGGATTGGGACTGTAAATGCCATGATCCTCGAGCCATTTCTTGAATATCTGTAAAGGAGACTAAGAGAGCAGTCCATTTCAGTAACAACGTTGTCACTCATCTGTAATTATTCAGTCAGTCCAAAGGAAATGCTACTTTGCTTGTGACATAACTGTCTGATTCATCACAAGGCAGATTCTGAAATGGAAGATTCGCTTTGAATTGGATTTATGCATGTACATCTCTGCATTTTAGAAATGCTTTTCTGGCAGTTTCATTTAATTATGCAAGTAACGGCAAATGTTTTCATAACAGCAGTTGACGGGCTGCATGGTGACGCATCAGCTGTGGCACTGACGGAAGGTCCCGCTATGTGCCCGCCCCTGCCCTGGTCTGCCTGCCGGGTCTCTGTGTGTCAGGTTGGGTGGCCAAACCAGGTCTTCTCCTCCATGTTCCATGTGTCCAGCCTGTACCCAGGCTGTTTTACAATAAAAGTATCATCTGTTTTAACAAGCTAAGTGTTAATATGTGTGAAAAGAATGATTTCCTAAAAGCTTTGATGCCCTGCAGGGGTAGAAAAATTGTCATCCATCCAGCTGGCTCTTTTACAAAATACTGAAACCATATTAGCAACTTCTGCTTCCATTCGGTCTTGCTTTGAATTTGCAAGCATATGCTTCACGTCCTAGTTCTCTTACTTTTTTTTTTTTTTTTGCTTATATGGTAATTTTCAAAAATGTGAAATAGAAGAGGAACGCTGAATTAATGTTCTTCCCTTTATGTTTCTTTTTAGTCTAGCTAAAGCATATAGTCTGTGGTGAAGAAGGGTAGAATCATTCTGGAAATAGGCATTGTAGGCGTTCGTGTGTGTGTGTGTGTGTGTGTGTGTGTGTGTGTGTGTTAGCATCTTCAATTTGTTGTCTTGGTGACCTATTTATTGCTCTCACTTCATAACTTTATAAAGGTAGAATTCTTTCTCTATGATGATATTCCCCACTTCGGTTTCACTTTATTCACCAAACTTCTTTTGAAGACTATCCGTGTTAACGATAACAAATAAAACTAACTAAAGTGGATACTTGAGAGCCAGCATTAAAATGATGTGCTATCTCATTGTCCCAACTACAGACCGTCCCCTTTCAGCGCCCAGACACCTCACCTGGTCCTGGGACTGCTTCTGAAAGGAGCCCTTAGCAAGCAATCATTCTGGTTTGGGTTGGGAAGGGTTTGTCATTTTGATACCTGCCCTCCCCACCTTACCCCCCCCCCCAATAGAACATTGGACTTGTTATTTGTAAAATAGTTAACTGTTCTTAAACGTTCTGATACTTTTAAGTTTCACATTTTTGTTATTGTAATTAAAAAATCGAAGGTAGACTCTAATTCTGTTGGTATGTCATCAAGAATAACATATGTGAGGGGGGGCTAAGAGCTCCTAATTAGCCAAGCCTGAATTCGCCTCAATTGCAGTTAGTAAATGAGAGGTTATCAAGCATGTGTTGAAAGGTAATGTAAAATGTGTATCTTAAGCAACAGATCATTACTGAGAAACATTATGTAATTATTGGAAATCCACGTGGCTGGTGCTTAAAATAATATTTTTCAGTGTTAAGAAACAGTTGAAAATAATGACCCTTTAAATAGTAGTGATGTTAGTCTATTATAGATAAAAGATTGAAGAGAACACTTTTATTCAGGCATCATGACAAACTTTTGATAATCTAATTAAAGTATTTGCTGAGTACAAAAGGAAATGAATCCTCTTAACACACCTGCGTGTGCACACGCATGAGAGCGCACGCTCACACACACACACACACACACACACACACACACACACACACACCAAATCCTGAGATGTTAAAACTAATAGTATCCTTGAAGATCAAAAAAAGTTAATAATAGGACAAATATTAAGACATTCTACTTCACTCCATAAGTGGTTAAACTTATAAAACACTTTTGCTTAAAACAAATGGCTTCAAATATTATAAATAATTTATGGCAGCCGTAAGCTGTTAATAGAAGGAACCAACTTCAATTAGGTATATCCCTAATCTTTTCAAATTATCAGAAAGTAATAATAGCCTTAGCTATCACCACTACTGTTCCTGGGGTACCTCCAGGTACATGTGCAGGTGCTTTACCTCTAGTATCATTCCTAACCTATAGGCTCTATGCTATCACTCCGTTTTATCCTCGTTTTCCATCTCAGGAATCTCCTATTCAGAGAAGATAAGTGACTTAAGTGTTGAATCAGACTTTGGAACTTTATGTCTCTAATTTCAAAGTCCATGCTTTCCCTACCATAATTCATTACTTACAAAATTTGAAATGGTCAACGTGTTGTGGAAAGAGGACTAGACCAGAAATACAGAAACCTGAACTTCAGCCACAGTCATGCCTTTAATTGTCTGAGTGAGCTTTAAGAAGTTAAGTCACCTGTGTAAGGCTGGGTATAGTTAGAACACATGAACTGAAAAAGTTGGTCTAGAATTGCAGATGATTTCTGAAATCGCTTCCAGATTTTAAACCACCTAAATTAGATTAGTTCTAATTTTAGAAATGGCTAAAACTGCTGTGTTGGTTGCATGCCGAGAGAGAGAGAGAGAGAGAGAGAGAGAGAGAGAGAGGCATTGAGGTGAGAGAGAAATATCGATCAGTTGCTTCCTGTGATTGGAAGGGAACCCACAACCTTTTGAAGTCTGTGAGGACTCTCAACCACGTGAGCCACCAGCCCAGAGTAGCGATTCTTAAAATTTCCTGTGATGACCAGGTGAAAGCAGGGCATCCCACACCAGAAGTGCAGTGGATAAGCAAGTGCAGTGGATAAGAAGGTAGAAAAGAGATTCTGTATAAAAATATCAGTGCCAGCTGACATTTTAAGTATCTACCACCATGGTTCTGAATCCCAGATTTGGAAAAGAGTTGGAACTCATATATTCTGTATTCATGCTAAGCGTTTCTGAGTGGCCAGAATATTTTAAACACAGGCTGTCTTTGCCTCTCTAGTAATCATTGATACACATGCTAAGCTTAAAATCTACATGTTAAATTTACTTTTTCAATCTAAAGTATCTGGGCAGAGAAAACTTTAAGGAAGTTTTCCCATAGTAGGAGAGATAATGGATTCACCATAAGGTTGTTCCACTTTATAAACAATCTCTCTTACCCCTTGTTTTTTTGTTTTTTCTTTTAATTAAAATATCATTGTCAGTACAGAAAAACATCAACATAACAAACTAATTCAGGTGAGTGGGTGTCCATTAAAGCTGAAAATCTATTATATAATAAAAATAGTTTTTCTGAATGCATATGTTAAAAATTGACAAGTTAGTTCATTTACCTGTTTTTACTTATGTTGACACATTTGAATAATTAAAATTAATATGAAAGCTTTTATTTCACAGAAGTTTTCTATAAGCATCACTGTGATATTTAATTCATACTGAATAGCTGTAGTAAGTGCATGCCAGTCAGAGGGGCAGGTTTGGGCACTATAGTCAACCCCTCGGTGTTGTAGTATTCTCCTGTGCATTCACCAGTCTCCGTGAGTCAACAAGTGCACCGGCTGGGGTGAGGCTTAACACACATGGGAACATTGGCTGCGGGTGTTAAAACTGCTGCAGGAAGTCATGCCACGTGACAGCAGAACCAATCACCCCCCAATCACCCCACACATGCAATGCAATAATCACTTGTGAACTTTGTTTGTGAGCGATGACCCTTGGATTTAAATATGTAGCTACAGTGTTGTTGTTGTTTTCGTTATAAAGTAATGAAAATATTTCTAAATGTATTTTTATTGATTTCAGAGATGAAGAGAGAGGGTGAAAGAGATAGAAACATCAATAATAAAAGAGACATCATTGATCAGCTGCCTCCTGCAGGATATCGAGCCCACAACCCAGACTGTGCCCTTGACCGGAATAAAACCCGGGTCTCTTCAATCCACAGGC